ATATATATATATATATATATATATATATATATATATATATATATATATTCATTGAAAAAATCTTATTTATCACTGAATAAGTAACAGATTTAATAAAATAAATTAAACAAATGCAGTGTATGCTATTCAGATGTTAACGGTTTATATTTTAGTTGTCGTAAATAATTAATAATTTAATGTACTATTTTTTGCATCTTCTAAATTGTTGCATTCAAATAAAACGATATTAATAATATTGATTTCAAATCCTAAAGCTGTTGTTTGCAAAGAATAATAAATTCAAACTTGTCATTTAATGGAATGATTTATCATTGCTAAACAAATGAAAGGTGAAACATACTAAGTATTTGATTTGCTTGCATATTTTGACATGCATATATACCTTACATTCCTTAATTCAAGCACATTACATTGTTATGTAATACATTACATTGCTTTAAGAATGTGGGCATTAAATAAACATTACCATTACTTTTTTTTTCTTAAAGTAATGCTTTACAATACCATTACTTAATTTCAAGAAAGTTTTCAAAAATTAAAAATACTCTTTGTATTTATTACATATTTATTTGTACATCTTTTTATTATTAATAGGAACTTCGAATGTTTCAATAGCTAATAAGAAAAAAAATCACGTACAACATGCATTGTTTAACTATTAAAGCAATATATCTTTTGAAGCAATATACTTCCTACCCAAAACTAAGACAAGTAAAGTTTATTTTGATCTAGTACCTTAAATTATAATAGAAATATAATGCATTAGCAGACTTGTAAAAAAGGGTTAGACAATATGTAAATTTTCTGCTTTCCAATAAGTAGAATGCCTGTTTTCTATTCCATTTGGTGCAATGGATTTGTTATGGTTAGCTTAAGGTAGACCGGCTCAATTAATGTTTTACAGACACAGTCAGAAATCTTTGGCCGATTTTTAGTACTGCTCAAAACAATGCATTGTTTTATATGTTAGATTACCTTAAAGGCATTGTGTATTTTGATGACAAGGTTGCAAATATAAGTTTACAGTTAACATAAACAATTAGTGTGCTTCATACTAGAATCATCTTTAAAGAAGTTTTTAAAATATCTTTACAATATTCTTTGAAACTAGATTTGATCTAAAATAAGTAAGAAAATTTCTATGTGTGATCACTATACTTTCAACAGAATACAAATATATTTCAACAGATACAGGTAGCTTATTTATCTTTATAGAAATGGAAATCATAGCTCATTTCTATAATTAAAAAAATGGGTATTCGCAAAATAATAATTTGCGAGAACTTTATTTTCGCGTAATTACGTGATACAGTGTGCTCGCGAAAATTTAAGTCTCGCGTATAATAGTATTCATTGTGATTAAATAAAACAATAACCACAATTCGTGAAAATTTTGTCTCGCTAATCAAGATTCAATTACTATCTCGCAAAAATAAGGTGTCGCGAAAATGTTATTGATCTCAGTTATTTTTCTGTCAAATGACATTTTCTTTGCAATTTAATTTTCACACTTATTTCAGTCATAAACTTTTATTTCAAAGAAGATTTAAATAAGTTTGAAATCCTTTGAAATTTAATTCAAGTACGAGGTACACTTATTATGAAAAAAGAAACAATGTATAGTGATGATTGCCACCTTTTGTATATACTGGGACAATTAATTAAACACACAGTGTATAAAGGATTATGTAACAAAGCAGGCAATTGCAATGTATTGTTTTGAGAAATGCTGCAAAAACCAATCCTTTTCTGTTGTCTTAAAAAACAAAGAGCCGGTCTTATTCGAGTCAGTCATGACAATATCATTAATAAGTCCAAAAGGGTAAGAAAACAGACATGATACTTATAGAAAAAACAAAATGTCATTTTTTTTTCAAAAGAGTTCAGGGTTCGGAGTAGGAGTTAAAATGTCTGAAAAGTTTAAGTTCTCTGGCATATGTTGCACATGATTGAATTTTATTTATTTGTTGGTGATGGGTAGATTTCTTCTGAATAGAAAAATGAGACTAAATAAATCTAATTTACAGTTTTGAGTCAACATTGATCACATTGGTAGGATTTTGGTGTTTATAATAATAGTAGCACAAGGTTGTGTACTGACTAATCAAAGTAGTGATGATAATTAAAATGTAATGCAATACCAAGGTAAAGGCCACAAAAATTAACTTTTATGAATACGTTTTAAAATTAGTATTACCATTTCTTATTGATTCAATATATTTCAATAATAATTGATTTATATGTTACAAAACAAGGAAGTGCAATCTCATTCCTCTAAAAAATTAAAAATGTAAAAATTCCAGTAAAACATCAAAGACTGAACAAAATATAAATTTGATCTATACCTCATAAAGGTAAACTCACACCAAAATCAACTCAATCTCTGCAAGGACACACAGGAAAAAAGTGTGAAAAACCAAAAAAAAAAACTGGTTTTCCTTAAAAAATCCAAAAAAAGAAAAACAAACAAACAAACAAACTTAATTTTATGAGAAAATTATTGAAGCAAAACGAAAACTAATCTGATCTGTAACTTTTCAAAATAACCTTACACTCCGATGATGAGCTCAATATCTGTAAGCGTTTAGAAAAAGCTGCGGAAAACTTAGTGGGACAGGCTAAAAGACGAGTAGGAGGACAGAAAACAGACACTTGGGCAGTCTTATAGACGGACAGATGAGGGGAAACCTTAAAGCACCCTCTAATTTCACCGGTGGGGGGCTAATGAGTCTTTTTTGTGTCATGCAATAGAGTTAAATGAACGAACTGACTTTGAAAAAAAGCATTCTGTGGCTGTGCAAACATAACCGCCTACGTGGCTTATTTGATATTATACAGAATTGGGCATTCCATGCTTCAAATAAATAATGGTATACAAAAAATCTAAGTGTCATTTTAAAGGATATTCCCATTAAGTTGCAACACAAAACACCATGCATTTAATGCAGAAAACATGATAGCCCCATTATTTTAAAGATATTTTAGAAAACTCCGCGAAAACAGGAAAATAAGCAAATCATTTAATATATAGATCAGTATATGTTAATTTTCTACATTAAAAAATCGTCAATATTTTACCTAGGAAAAAATATCATCAGTACCTGAAATTCTGAGATTTTATTAAATTTTCAATTTCCATCACTTCCTGCTGAGCGCATGTTTGGTATGGTCGGTCGAGGTGGTACTTACTCTTTAATGACTTCTAATTTCACCTCTGATTTTTTTTTGGAGGTCCGTGTTTTTCTTTTCCGAATTCTTTATGTATCAAAGGACTTTAAGCTTGATAAGTACTCGGTATATTTTAATTTTCTGACCTTATAGAAATCTCCGATTGCATTTTAATGTCTTGAACATATATACACCCGTTAAGTTTATATTTCTGAACACCTTGCGAGTTATAACAGGCAAATTATTTTTTTAAAAAATATTTGCATAATGATGCATACCTAAATGATATACCACTATATCTGTATCTTTCAATATTCCAAATTTGATCTTGATTTCATTGTGCTTATAGTTTAGCATGAAAATGTTAAATGTATTTTTTAAAAAATATATATAAAGAAGAAGAGGAGTAAAAAAAAAATCTAGAAATAAAACTCTACACAAAATGCTGTGAAATCGCAAATTTTCGTGAGGGGGTTAATTTTCGTTGTTTTTGAGGTATGAAGAGACCCACAAATTCATGTCCACCATGAAATGTAAAATGTTACATATAAACTGTAAAATCACATATTTTCGTGGGGTCAAATTTGGTTTGAGTAAAAACTCTTGGTTCGTTGGGATTTGAATTCGTGGATGAGGAATTGTTGAGTAGTTATGTATGTAACATTTTACATTTTGTGGTGGACATGAATTCATGGGTCTCTTCATACCATGAAAACAACGAAAATTAAACCCCATGAAAATTTGTGATTTCACAGTAACTACTGAACAATTCTTCTTCCACGAATTCATATCCCCACGAACCAAGAGTTTTACTCAAACCACGAAAATTTGACCCCACGAAAATATGTCGATTTTACAGTAGGCCTATTCATAAGACTTATGAGTGCAAAGTGATAATATTTGGAAAGTATAGAACGCTCTAAAGAATCTTTAAAGGAAACAGTCATGAACAGAAAAAATGCTTAAATTTCACTCAATATTATATCATATTGGCATTTTATTCATTTATCATAAAATACAAAGTAGATTTTTTGTTGATTTTTTTTAGCTTTCAAAACTACAATTTATTAATGTAAAAATAGTTATTTTAGTTGTTCTTTGAGAATTTATTTTTATTTGTATTCCTGTTTTAATGATAAGATTGGCAAGCATAAAATATAAAGTTGACATGTTTCTGCCTTGTCTATATTTAAAAAACACACCTTGTTGAAAAAAAAAAATTCAAAGCAATGCAAAAAAGATTGTATCGTGTGCAAATTCAGAGAATTTGACGTCATTTGTAGTTAAATGTATCTTGGTCATTTAAACCTAGAGCACGCGCACTCAAGCCGTTCGATTTTCGTGTCGTGTTTTGGGATAGAACGAGGAATCAACGCATAAAAATAAAAATACAATACAAACCACTTTGTGGTTATATTGACTTCAGAATGACTTTGTTAAATTGCATCGATCCAGCTGAAGCCAGACTAATTTAATGAAAAATATTTGTTCGTCAATAAACGGTTGTTTTTTAATTAAATTTCAGTTTTAAAAAAATATACAAATTAATATCCCTTCGAAGATAAATTTATCAATCATATGTTTACAACAAAATGAAGAAATAAATGCTATAACGCTGATACAGGTACACCAAGTAACCTAGAGCGTATTCTAGATAGTGTGTAAATGTGACCTATTTCAATGTTTACAATATCCCAGTTAGGAGGAGGGGCGGAGTTTTAAATCAACCAATCAAAATTGGATTGACGTAAGGGTTTTTCCAAATACAGTCGTCCTACACTTTTTATAAAGAATACTTTCCGAGAGTATACGAATGGGTCCCTTTTATTTTGTTTAACAGATTTTTCATTGATTCAATAGTCACGTGTTCTACTACGGAATATATGTTTTCTCGGTTAATGTTAAACTCTAACAGTTTGATTCTATGTTTCATATCATAAAGACGGACAAATAACATATCTTAAGTATGCATACCGGTAGGAATTTATCTGCAAACAATACATTTATTTATACTTGATATTTATGCAATTTCTAGATATGGACATTTTATTATTTTAAAGACATTTTATGCTATTTCTTTTTTTTCAGAATTTTCAGCACTTAATCAGTATCTTGAAGCAAGCCAATTTGCCCAAGAAGCTACAATGGACTTTCATGTAGATCAGAAGGTAATGCGATTATACGTTATAATTTTTTTTTAATTTTATTTTTTGTTTTTGCTTGACATGTTGTTACAATACATCTTGATTTCTTATAGGTTCCCCAGAAAACCTGTATTCTCGGATCAGAAAGTTTGAACTACCCAAACATTGTTAGTGAAGGACAGTTTACTTGCTCACTGAACAATTTCTTAGAAAATATGGGAGAATTTGCCCCCAGATCACACACTGTTGTGCCTGTTATGGAGACACCCCAAGAATTCCAAAATCCAGAGAGTCCCAAAAGTTTCATCGATATGGACAGTCATAATGATCCGACAGATCATGACATTTCATTATATGATCCAAACTGTGTTGTGAAAACGGAAAAAAATTACGTGCCATGTTCGATGTCTTCAATAAACACCGTTTCAAATCTACCGAACTTTTGTAGTATAAACAATGAACCCTACGTCCCGCCTGTAAAGACGGAAACATTGGAATCTCTCTCATGTGGAGATCAGTTTGGAAGTTGTGATATAGGCTCCGCTGTTGTTCTGGCTCTGAAGAATGAAATTAATCAAGTTTGCAGAATATTGGGAATTTCACCAGGTATGGACTTAACCCTTTTGAGAGGATTTTTAAGACAAACACGAAAAAATCATGCTGTTTATATTTTATATTGAAAAACACTGCCCTAATGATGGGATGGGTGCGTGTATAAACAACGTTTGCTATGTTTAAACGTGATATTACTCTTAGAGTACATGAAATCAATAAAAACCGAAAAAATCAGTCAATTAGAACGAATAGCTTTTGCGAAAATATAACTTAAGATTTGATTAATGATAACAATAATGACACTGCACACATCAGTTAGCAGAGTAATATTTTTTAATCGGTAGACCATGACGCTCTGTGTGCAGTTTTCAGTCTATTTATCTTGTGTATTTGAAGTAGCAATCGGCTCTTACCTGTAGTATGTTTCAAGGTATTGAACTTTTTTCATTGTATTTTATTAGATCCACGTATGTGGTCTGAATCCGATGTTCAGAGGTGGATGGAATGGCATGGCAATCAGTTCCAGGCATCTTATGGCGTCACAGAGGCTTTCAGAATGTGTGGAGCACAGTTATGCCGACTGAGTAGTGAAGATTTTAGAAGAAGATCTCCCGAGGCAGGAGCCAATTTGTATGCACAACTGGATGTTTGGAAAAATGGTATAAAATAAAATCCTTACATTAAATTAAAATACCTTTTCGACATTGAATATAAATGTATCACGGTTACACAAAATTCCAATAAAATTCAGATGTATAATACCTGTCATTGTTAGTTTCGTATAAATCCTAGACTTTCATAAATGTGACTAAAATTTCATTTCATTCCTTTAATTTGATCAATCTAAATTTTTTTGCTCACACATTTCATGCCTTTTCCAGCTTGCAGTTTGCCAAATCCGCAAATAAAGCAGACGACACCAGATTTTTATTATCCGCCAGCGCCCCAAGAGTCCTTCGTGCCAGCGTCTCTCTCCCCCACTCCCAGTGTAGCCAGCGAAGAAAGCTACCGTAGCAGTTCGCCGATCAGTTCTCATTCAGATGAAGAAGTCACCACACCGAATTGTAAGTGTATAAAGAAGATTCCTTTGTGTAAGAAAAACAACCAAAACAAATAAATTCATTCTTCTTTCACGTGATTGTTTTCTTACCTGTCCTATTTATTAAATCTGTTGTAGATCATAGTAATGTAAACAGTGGAAAACAAACAATCCATCTGTGGGAGTTTTTAAAGGAACTTCTACTGCAACCAGACAATTACAGTGGCTGTATCAAATGGGTTAGTCGTACTGATGGTATTTTCAAAATTGAAGATTCATCTCGTGTTGCTAGGCTTTGGGGAAAACGAAAGAATCGACCAGCCATGAACTACGATAAACTGAGCAGGTCTATTCGCCAATATTACAAGAAGGGGATCATAAAGAAGACAGAGCATTCCAAGCGACTTGTGTACCAATTCTGTCAACCCTATCTCTGAAAAGAAACATTTTACTAATCAGTCAATTTTAAGGACTTTCCCCAAAATGTCCATTTCACGCTTTCTGCGTGATTCATTAAAATGGTTACTGTTTAGTAATTCACGTTATGTTCCATAGTTTCCAGTTTCCCCATTGTGACTGGCTTATATAATTGATGTATTCCTAAAAACTGGCAGCTGTTGTTTCATGTTGCTCTGGTGCAGGCACCAGTTGATATCTCATAGAGTGCTGGCACCAACTGATATCTCATTGTGACATATTCATCTGAGATAGGTAGATTTTTTAATATTATTCTTGCCACACTTCTTACCCGGTGGCCATAATGCTATGTATTTGAATTCCACTACACAGGCAAATTAAAACATTGCTTGTGTTTGTTTTTTATATAATTATGTATGTTGTAAGAGTAAATGGTATCTGAGGCGTTTTCTTCTCAATTGTATTTATATTTGTTAGATATTGATTATTATTCTTTTAATTTTTTTTTCTAGATATTGCTAAATGCTGATAATTGATTTTCTCATACTTAGTTTTATCTATAGTACTGCAATTGAAGGCATTTATGTGATATTTGAAAATAATATGACCATATTTTAACATGTTTCCAGACAATAAATCAATTTGAAAACATGCATAAACTTTCTTCTTGACTACACATGGAGTCTTCTTTCTTTTCAATATAACGACAAGTTATGGAGATGACAGAGTCCGAAAGACGCAATAGGCATTGAAGAAAAAAAATTCCGCAAGATATTTCTTTTGAGTAAAAACTTGTTTAATGAAATGTTTAACTTGTAAAACTTGTTTAAATTTCCAAGAATCATTTTGAATTTTTTCCCACAGCTATTCTCTTTTGAATTTCTATACGAAGTGTTCGCATATTTTTCTTAACAGAATATTTTATTTTCAATCACTGTAAATAAATTGTGAAAAAATATGTGTATAATTTAGTAAATTTATTCTGAATTCCGGGAATTTCCCTAAAAAATAGTGACTGTAAAAAAAAATATTGCATAATTGTTTGATTAATCTTATGTACTCAGTCTGACAATGAGGACTAAACCAATCCCAGTGACAATGTCAGACATTGCATTAATTAACGTAATTCTTATAACAAATTTGTTAATTTTATGTTATTTCATCAGCTGACATCCAAGACTTTTTCTGTCTGTTTACAAACATTTATTCCATCCAAAGTTGTTCTATCTGTAAACAAGCATTTTCATGTATTCCAGTTCGAAAACATGGATTTTTATAAAACTAGCTTTTACGCTAAATAATTCATAATTGCATGTATATGATTTTATAAGAGAAAAAAATAATTTAATACTATTTAACCAGCTGATATCCTAACCTCTGCCTGTAAACAAACAATCTCAACTGTAGGAATTATGTATTTTTTTTCTGTTTAAACTAAAGTCGGTTTTATGAAATTAACTACTAAGGTAAACATTTCATAAAATTATTTATTGACGGAATATAATATTTTTTTCAGGATATGAATTTGCTGTTATAATTAAATTCTAATTTTTAAAATTAATTTTCCTTTTCATTGTTAGTAAAATGAACGACGAATATGAATATTTGAAAAATGCATATTTCATTTTTTTTAATTCATTGTTTTGTTTTGAACATATTTTATTGAAAGAATCAAATGGATTAGAAACAAATTCTTATAACTTACTAGTTCCTCTCCATAAATATAACAATGTGTCATGCAAATAATACACTAAAATATAATATTTATAATATTTCCAAGTGATATAAGTTAATAGCAAGTCAATTTAAAATCTACGTGTTTCAGTAATAAATCTATGGACAGCAGCAAAAATATTATTATTAGTTGATACAGGCAAATCTCTATCACCCCATATTAACAGGTTAGTGTCAATTGTTACCAATTCTTCAAGCATGAACAGGTGGTTAAAAAGATTGTTTCTACAAGCAAAAAAAAAAAATAATGGTAAACATCTTCATACTTTCCACATGAACAAAGAGGACTGTTGATAATATTGCGTTTATATATAGATCATAATTAAGTAAAGAGTTGTGTCTTAGTTTAGTATGAAGTATGTTTGTGTAGCGTTTGCCAAAAGAAAAATACGTTGGCGGATTGATGATTTTTGTACAAGCTCTAATTCATTGGGAACCATCTTATCTCCTTTAAAGTTTAAGGAGATTTGTGTTACTATAGATCAAATTCTGTACGACATGTGATTTTCCTCGTATCATTAGCATGTACATTGGAATATCCTGACTTTATCCATTTTTCTCACTTTTTATTATATATTATAAAAATTTTCTCACTTAATCTCTCTCTCTCTCTCTCTCTCTCTCTCTCTCCATATATATAATTTTTTGGTATTGGTATGAGTGTTCAGATGAAAAACCCATCGATGACCCGAGCTTTGTTACAAATACATTTAAGACACTTAACTTCAAGTCGAATCATAACAATCTATACGACGCTTTGTTTTATTATCATGTGAATTCACTACATTTATTTCTATTTTTAAATGGAATAAACATAGTGCTCACGAAATATTTATGCAAACATATCTGATTAATTCAAAAATATTTTTTTTTATTTCCACTTGCTATCAACGAATTTTTTTAAAAAGAGAACGCATGTCATGTATGTTCATTTCACATGTCCATTAAATATTACATATAAATAAGCCAAACTTCAACGACAACTAGGTATTTAGTATGTTTTTATCTTTGTTTAGCATATGATTATCATACCTAGAATTTAAATAGGTTCTTCAGTTTGTTCTATACTTATCAGAAACAGTTAATCTGCTGAAATGTATTCAATTCTTGTTTGGCGATTATACTTCTTTTTAAAAGATATTTACGTTGCTTTTTATAAACTTTGCAGAAAATACAAACTGGGTCTGTATTTTATTTAATCTTTAATATCAATGAAATCATTTCAATTCTAACAGAAAACCTAAAAAATAAAATATCAAAGATTTCAATAGATATTTGGTAGAATAGTATCTTGTTCTCTCATGTCATTCTTTTTGCTGTATTTCTAGTCCAAACTTGAAAAGCAATTTCAAGAAAGACAAAATAAGAAAAAAAAACTTTTCTTTAAACAAGAGTTGGAAGCATTACTTACAATAATTAAGATGATTAAAAAAAAATTGTTCATAGACGTTTCAGAACAAATAAATGTGTTCTAAAAATAATGAGGTAATCGTGTCATAAAGTTTGGTTTTCCAATTTTCGTTGTTTTTCTTGAATACATTTTTATTTAAATCAAAAACTACATGTAAGTCCATGTATGTTACACGTATTGATTTGAGATTGTATCTTGTTTGGAACGCTTTGCTTAATCCTTACAAACGAAAACAAGGCAAATGGTAAAAAAAAAAACATTAACAAAAAGAATGCATATTTTTTCTGAAAAGTTTCCTCTATAAAAATTCTTAAACTACTTATTAGATAAACCTTTTATTTTTTCTTGAAAAAAACATATGGCGATACAGAGTACATGGTAATGGCCGAAGTAAAGTTTTACTTTTTCTATATCCATCTTCATTTCTCTATCAACTTAAATTTGAATATAAAAATTACATAGATTTATTTTTTTTTATTTGTTTTAGATTTTTTTCTTTTCTACTTTTGCCGACTTTTGTAAGATCTGCTTACGGATACAAGAACCAGGAAGTGAATAGTGATAGAAAATTACAAAAGGTAACAAGAGACGATTTTTAAAAAAATCACAAAAGGTAAACAGATGTTTTTTTCTAAATTCTTAAAAGCATGTCATTAAACAGGAAAGAAATCAATAGAAAGATATTTGCATGCATAATCATTTACATATATTTATAAATAGTATTTGTTATGTCCTAGGTCACCGTATCTTAGCGATGCATAGTCAAACTAGCAAAACAGAAACAACATTGTAGCGGGCATTCAACATAATAAACAAATAAAAAAAAAATAAGGATAAATACTTCATTTTTCTTAATGGGGGATTCCTTTTCGCTTGTTTTCTTTGAGCATCTCCAGGGATCTGAAAAGAAACCAGAATGAGTAATATCTAGGTCAAATGGAATTAAAGTATTGTTTGTTTATTTTTAAACATTTTATTTATTTACATGCATGAACTGTTTCCTGGTTGTGAAGGAAAAAGTTTTCATTCTTGTTTATTCCAAAATTATCGAATGATTGTAAGTTTTATAAAAAGCTAGGTTTAGGTGTAATAAAAATTCATATGAATTAATTGTATTGTATGCATTATTAATAAATTGCATTGTTATTATAGATTTTGTGAATAAACTGCGAATAAATAAAGTTATTGTTATTAATAGAGCAATCAAAAGTAATATTTAGATGAAAGACACAAATACTAAATAATGTGCATAAAGGCTTTAAAACAAAAACTGTATTTCAAATGTGAGCTCAGAGGAAGTACATCTACTAGCACAAGTTCTACACTTTTTTATATAATAATTTTGTTTATATTGAGAAAATGATACTTAAGATTAACATTATTATTGAAAAAAAAACTGTTCATGAATTAGATATTTGTTTGCGAATGTTACAATGAATTGAATCGGGTTGTACAAAAAATATCCAAGAAAAATGGAAATAAATCTTTTGTACTAATATATAATTGTATACTGTATAATATAAATTTCCTTTGTTTTTTCTTGATTAATTTTAAAGGACTTCTGAGTTTTGCATTTTCCCTAAATATTAGTAAGTTTCACGAATTGATTGTAATATAAAGTTGACACATATATTTTTGTGCGGTTAATGCAAATACAGCTATATTTTATTACTTGCTTTTTTGTACTATTATTCTGACTTACATACAATATTGCACAATAATACTCATCTTAAAATTAAATCTGTAATTGACATGCCATAGAATCAAACCAGGAAGTCAAATTGTCCAGACATGCATCCCCTTAACTATGCTCTACTTAGTTAAACTGACAAAACAGACAGAAATACCTTTGCTTAGTAAACAGATAAGTGATATAATATTATTTAGCTTGTGTCCTTGAGTCTTCTCTTAGCATTGAGATAAATAAAAGTAAATATCAGAGTGTAAAAGTGTTAGTTATAATGCAATCAATCTTAATCACAGTCTATTTAAGGCCTAAATGTTTGATGTATTATAATATTTGTTGAGTAAATCTGAAAACAAATTTATCAAACGTTCTCCTGACACAACCTACAGTAAATATTTATAATAGTTCATCCTTAACAAAAAACTGCAGCAAAAAAAATCGTCATCTTGTTAATTTCTATCACTTTTAAAGAAAATTAAAACAATTCAAGCGTTAAACTACATCTTTCAACCACATCTTCAAATCATAGATCCGCCAACATAAGGCTAAAATATTGCCATATCGGCGATAAACAATAAAACAATTAATCACCAATCAATCAATCAATCATAAAAATAAACATTTCAAAAACGTAATCACATTATCATTTACAAAATATAGATTAGAGAAAGACTAAACTGCAAAAGTGCGAACGTTATGATAATATGCAAGCCATAGCGATATACGCGCAAATACCTTTTATCAATGAATTATCTACCAGATAAATTAAGTCATAGTACGGGACTACACGGTATAATAAACTTTCTGGTCAAAAGCTACTACAGAGTAAAAAAAAATGAACATCTTGTTCTTCATTAATGAGGTTTTTTTGTATAAGCACTGTATCTATACAGGACAGATTAA